TTTCTTTTATTTTACAGTTAAATGATTATTTATGTAATTGGGTTTTTTTGTAATCTTAAATGTTCCTATATGAACTGCCGACCTCTTACAACTTCAATTTAAAAAAAAGGACCTTGTGGAATCTGGCAGATTTGTTTTTGCAAGTTTTCAGTTTTAGGGGGTTATTTTTTCTTGAACATATATCGAGATATATATCGTATATCGAGATATAGCAAAATATATCGAGATATATTTTTTGATCCATATCGCCCAGCCCTAATTGTTAGGTAGCTCAATTCCAGCTCCCGAGATTTCCGGTCGGACCTTGAACATGGCGACACGATAAAAACACTGCTCCCCGACTAAAGCTGAAGAAAAGCCCCACAAGCCCGAATTCTGATTTGAAGAGAGGAGAAACTATACAATACTAAGGGGGCTTGATGATGAGAAAAGGTAAAGCAAAAAAGTTTACTTCTACCGCTGGGTTTAGAATGAGCGAGTACGAGGAACAAGCTAGGCTAACACCCGAGCTAACAGAGGAAGCCGAAGACGCGGCTCAGGTACTCCCCGAGAAGCCAGGAGACGTGGAGAGAATGTCCGAGTTAGAGACTGTCTTGCGAGAAATAAAAGAGTTCTGCAGTGAAAACGTGGAAACGCTTAAGGACATTAAAGGCAATTCCAGCTCCCACAGGTGAATAATGTTGTTGTGTCGTTGAGCAAGAAACTTAACCCCTAAGGTGTGAATGTGCATGTGAATTGGTGGAGTGGTTCCTTGAGGTAAAGCGCTTTGAGTGCCTTGTAGGTGGAAAAGCGCTACATAAAAATGTGACCATTTACCAAGGTGACATTTAGTACAAATCCTGAGTGTGGTAAATTGAATGCAAATAAATCCAAATAATCATTGCAATTACTTTTTACTGCAACAATAAAGTTACCACTACTCCTGTAAATTATAATGGCTAATCATTTGTGCTTCCACCCATTATTAATTTTACACAGTCGGCAGCAGCTTAATCTTGTGATTGATCATTACCCATTTCGTCTATTAGTTCTCATTTACTAATTTAGAGTCTGACTAAAGGAAAAGTTCAGGCCAAAATACAGAAAAAATGTCTGAACTTCAATGTGAGTTAGAAGTATTTTACTTGAACTTCATGTCATGCTCATACAAGAACAGGAAAGTGCAAAAACAGTTTGAATGACATATATGTAACACGGAAATGATCAAAATGATTGTTTTGACACCAGTTCTATTGATAATATAATGTTTGATAATAGGATTTCTGATTAGCTTTTTATTAGTTTCTGATAACTTTTATTCTCCGTACCCAAGTCCCTCTTGTCACAAAAACATTGATATTTTATGCTTTTCCAAAATAATTACAAAATAGAAAATGAATTAAAAAGACTTGGCTTAGCTATACTTATATTCTCATCAAAAGAGCAATTTTCATCATAAAATAGCCTCCACTATGATGTTGTTCTATGAAGCTTATAATAAACATCTCCCAAGTGTGGGGTGTTTTATTAGTCAGTGCTCCCACATTATAGTTATTGATAATCATGAATGACTAAGGATGTAAAGATATCCACATATCTCTGTACAATATTTTCACAATATACATCTCACGGTACGATATTTATTGCAAAATTTTGTGGAGGCTAACAAAACTGTGAATATGCTACTTTTTTCTCTTAAAATGCCTTGACAAGACTTAACCCAAATAATTAAGTTATATCTTCATGTAGTCAACACTGAAACACTGCAAAGGATCATGTCTATGTAGTTCCCTCTGTTTTTTTTAGCTATTGCTGCAGCACAACTATTCATTTAAGAGACTTGTAATTCAATATATTGTGATGGTTCACGATATTATTGTGAGACCTTTCACAATATCATATCATGATATTTCAGTTATTGTTACAGCCCTATTAATGACTAATCAATCGTGTTAATTTTTACTAAAATCTGACAGCTATTGCCAGTATACGAAATAGGATTTATAGAAAACTTTACATCAAAAGTAGGCCTGTCTCAATAATTACTATATCTTAGTACATGTAGGGAGCTTTTTGTTATTTTCTGTATTGCGATAAGATATGAGTCATAGAGAGTTGAGTAAATAACTATGACTCATTATAAATATAGAAAGTCAGTGGCATAAATAACTTTTAATATTACTGATATGATATAATATTTTCTTCAGCTGTTTTGTTATTTGCTATCAAAAACTCGAGATTAGTCCACATAAGTTCTCCTGCTTGCCTTATACACAAGCTCTGGGGGCGCACAAGGGCTGAGTAAACAGTGGCTTGCCTTCCCAACCTACGTGTGACCTGTGTAGACTTGTATAACAGAAACAGTAATGGAGTTTGCTCTAGCTGTTCCTCTGCATTCTACAAGTCCTGATGTCATTAGCTGTCACCACCGCTCTCCCATTTGGGGAAAGAAACATTGTGTGCAGGTGTACGTGCATGCTTGTCTGAAATGCATACACAAATACGACACAAAAAAGTGGAGGTGGACGAAGAGAGGTAGCTGGCTAAAAAATATACGTGTCTGGATGCTATGGCACACCTTTGGGAGGAGGGATAAGAACACGGCTGCAGGCAAGGAATGAATTTACGGGGTGCGATCTCCCAGAAACAATTTCTTTATGTGGGTTACACACATTCAGACTGGCTCCTTGTCCCCCCGAGGCCCCAGCACACCACGCACTCTGCTGCAAACCACCAATGAGATCGCCAACACCTTTTATAGGACACCAGATTTTTATTTATTTTTATTTATCCCCAGCAGCTTTCTCTCGCATTCGTTCTCCTTACTGTGTATACGTGTGTGTGTGTGTGTGTGTGTGTGTGTGTGTGCGTGTACTTCTGGTTCTTCACTTCTGTACCTCATTCTTTTTTCATTTTCATCTTGTACAGCTGCAGCAGGAGGAATGCAACACGGACTGTACTTTTTATTCTATCTGGGTGGCTTTGTCTCATATTATCCACAAGGCACAGTTGGGATTGGAGAGGAGACAACAAAAAGAGAAGACATTTTTAAGAAGATGAAAGATAAAAAATAATGATGATTTGGCTCTCTGTCTGTGGCAGTAAAAAAGTGAAAAATTAATGAATGTGGACAATTTAGACAAGCTGATGTTAGAGTTAAGAGATGTAGTTTCTGATGAGCGCACCTGTTTTTAAGTGAAGTGACTCTTTCATACGTTTATATTGTAAATAGTAGGGATGGTATACGACCTTACAAACTTGCCACAAGACTCAGCACACAAGAGAAGAATTATGAAATTTGAGATATGAGCGTTTACATTTGGATTGGACAAAAAAGGGTTACGTGTTGATGAGTTACATCTCTTGAAATCAAATAAATAAAAAATTGTGAGGTCAAAATTGGAAAATGAACTGATATTAATATATTAGGAATTATGTTAAAATCTCATCTTGTCTTGTTCTCTTGGGCCCAGTCTTGTCTTGTGGAAATTGTGTCTTGTCCCATCGCTAGTAAATAGTCTAGTGTCAAAGATTTGTTGTTCTATTTGTACATTTATTATGCATTCAATTTGCTGTGCTGGAATTTGTGTACTTGCGTTGCTAACTCTTGACCAGGTTTTTGTTATAAATAAGAATTAGTTATCAACTGGGCTACCTGGATAAATAAAAGTTTAGGAGAAAAGGATGCAATAGACTTACAGAAATGTCTGCAAAAGTGTCTCAGAGTTATTTGGTAGAACATAGGTTTTGCTCAATACCACACTAACCTATGCCGTAGCAAGGAATTGCATCTGATCAGATTATTATTGTACTTTCCATAAACACTATTTTAGAAAAGCTTTGTTTTTCCCAGCTTTAAACTGATAAACTACCTCTGCTATATATTTTAGGCACCCTAACAAAGACGAGGGAGCCATATTTTGTGACATTTCTCACTGTGAGACTACGTTTAGAATTTTATTTTTGCTTTTCATTCAGGTCTTGTCTTATTTATTTGGGAGTACTGCAATATTGTACAACATAATTTCATAATTCTCTGTTGTACATTGCATGCCTCATTATTGGACACACTTCCTCCTTAAAGTGTCTCCAAATATCATTTTGATCCTGAGTACAAACCTCCTCCAGATCAGCCCACTCCTCTCTGCCCTCATCCTCTCAGTCATGGCCCAGCCTCTGCAGCTTCAGCACAAGAGCGTGACAGAACACAATCACTGCTATAATCCAACACACTCCAACATCCAAACAGCTACACACACACACTGCTTTAGGAATGTGTAGTCACCAGCAAGACCTTTACAACCACACAAACCGCTCATAGAATAAGCTATTTGTCTATATGTTTCCAATAAGTTTTCACAAAGGTTGTTAAGAATGAAAGATGAGCTAGATGCTGCTGAAACCCACAAATGTGCACAGACCATGTTATCCTCGTTCATTATACGTGTCTTCAGCTCTCCCTGTCTTCTCACGGTACTGTATATAGACCGCACAATCTGCTGCAACTATTTTAAATGTGATGACAATGACAAGTAGCTGTGCGTCACAGCGTGGTTTGTAGGTGCTTCAGCAGGAAAGGAATGTGCACAGGATAATTATCACATTCTGCTCGTGAGTTTATTCTGTGAAGATACAACAAGAAAGAAGCCAAAGACACCGGGACGGCATCTTTGTGGTGCTGTGCCGACAAAAACGAACCGTATCCACTGATATGTGCTCAAATATGCACAGACCTCTGTGCACCGCGTGCGCGTGTTTTTGGAATGAGGGAAAACTGTGAAACACGAGGCATCCACACTAATTTCTCTTTTCCACTAACTGGAATTATTATAAGTCAAACCACATGTGCAAATAGTTAGTCTAAAGCCTGCGTCGTCGACACAGAGTTGTCAAATAAAAAGTCAGCATAATCGAATCCCTTAGGTGTGTAATGGGCTGTTGGAGTCTTATTGAGTCTTCCAGGAGCTTCGTAATTCACACCTGAGGCTGAGAGAGATTTGAGACGTCGCGGGGGCACATACCTGTTGGTGCGGTGTGGTGTCGTTCAGCCCAGCCGGTAGAGCTCTCTCCTCATAGCCGCTACGCTCTTCGACACGGAGGACAGCCTGGCATTCCCGTCTCCAAAGCGTACAACGGTTCTTGTCTCTCCGTCCCTCACACGCGCTCGCACTCCGGTTTGTTCAACAGAAGTAGGAAAAGTTATTCCATCCCCATCCACCTCGGTGGTCTGGCCACAGACTAATAAACCCGCTGAGAGATGGGAGCTCCACGCGCTCCTTACTCCTTGCTAAGAGCCTCTCAAAGTTCCGTGCCTCCTCTTCTTCTCTTGAGCGCACCAGCATGAAACGGAAACTTAGTTATTGACCCACGGCGAAAACCGTAAAAGATCCGGGCCCAGACTAATGCGTTTTTTATGTTTGGGTTTCCTGTTTAAAATGGAGTTCAAGTGGCGGGACAGAGGTGCGATGCGGACGGAGACTTGGCCAGAGTGGAGTGCGCGCCTGTCTGTTCGTCTGCTGCTGCTGCTGCTGCTGCTGCTAAACGCTCATCTCTGAAGTAAAGTAGCGCACCCTAGCGGTAAGATAAGGATCAGCGCAGAACAAGAACATACTCTATGTAAATGATACAGTAAAGAGAAGAGCCCCATATGTTCTGCTCCAGGACATTCAGGATACTTGATATCAGAGTGTTCTGTCAACACAGGCTTCCACAGACACAACACATAAAACATTGTTTTTCAAACTATGGTACCACTATAGCACAGTGTCAATGGTATTCTAACACAAAATTATGTTTTAATAAAATAAGGTGATATAAGAGGTACTTGGTATTTAGATTCAACATAGCAATTGACATATGTCATTCCTTTATAGGATTCTTTAAATGTACTTATTCTTAAGAGAATTAGGGATAAGGTGAAAGACAAAAACTCATAACTCACAGAATATCTGCTTGTCAAACTGTTGGTCTTACAAAACAAGGATTGGTGAATTTTAAACAGTTAAAATATTCCATCTGCTCTGCTCCGGATGTGTGAAACCTCTCAGGGGACAGGACGGCAGGAAATAGTCTGAAATGTTTTTCACTTGAAGAAGGACAAAACAATATTGGCTCACCCACACACACCCGCACCCTCCCCCTCCACTGGGCTGTGTGAAGTTCAAATTAAATTGAACTCACTTTAGCTGTATCCATTTCCCCACAGACTCCTCCACCGGTGAGAGAGTGATGGACACCGTTCTCAGTCGGCCCGACCTGCCACTGTCTCTATATGTGACTTCAACTTCCAAAAAAAATTACTTCTTCCATAGCAGTTCTTTTGAGGAGGCTATACCCCATTGGCCCTGTGTCTGTGAGCAATACGGTGGGCTAGTTTTTCCCCCAGTGTCCCTGGTAACAGATGGTCAGCAGAAGGTATTAAGGCCATAGAAGTTAGGCAGGGGGAAACTTTGTTGTGAAGTCTCTTGCTTGGGGAGAAAGTAGCAGAAGTCAGGCCCACTGCTGCTGCGCTGTGAGGATAGTGTATTTTTACAAAGCTTCTGTGAGATGTAATCGAGGTGATGATGTATGGTTGCACACATGGCTGACAGAGTAATTGATCCATAGTGGGGGTGTGCGTCAAGGCTCACTGCCAGTCATACATCATTCCAGCCAGTGAGCTAATCCTTTACACTGACAAAGAGTTACCATCACTGAGGTCTCCACTCGTTCAGCCTCCTCATCCTCTGCTCCCTATACACTTTTTAGCCAGCCAGCCTGTACTTGAATTCCTCATCGCCCCAGTCTGTCCACGGAATCTCAGTAATGTGGCAAAGCTTCATGTTTTTCAGTTTTGTCAGAATCTTTCCAAATGCCAGAAGTCTCAGTTTGAGTAAATATAGTGTCATTGTGGCATCATAGCTCTACATTTTGTGGTTTTCTCATTGAAAAAATATTGCTTACAGACCTATTTAATAAGCACAACATGATTGCTGTGAATTAACTTCTTGGGTTCGTTTTAAAGACAAAACAGTAGGAGATGCATTTGCCTTGTTGACATGTTTCAGCTGCTAGGTGCAAGCCATCTTCAGAACTCTCCGTAGCGGCCAAAAGAGGTCAACGAGTAAATACACCTCCTACTGTATTGTCCTTAAAAAGAACCCAAGAAGTTAATGTACATAAGAAGATAAAATGAACGTTTTTGGATTAAGATTGCTGTGATTTTCTTCTTTCTTCTTTCTTTTGTCATGCACTCACGTGACATCACTGCTCTCTATAGCTAAGCTGGAGTTGAGTTGGAGGACAGAATTCTATGGTGAATTTGTCAGATTTGGTTTATGGTTAATATCTTGGTAATTACGGGACCTATACAGATGAAACAAAAACAGAAAGTGGTGCAGTTATTCAAAACCTCCCCATAGTGTTACATGCAATCCACTGTCATATATCTAAAATCATTAAATTCCAGAACATGAAGCAACCTATATGAAATAAATGAACTTATATATTTCAAGTTATTATATTTTTATTACACATATATTTATTATTTTAGTTATTAAATTCAGAATGGTATTTCGTTTCTGTCTTTACATTTTATATATTTTGTTATTGTGAGACAGATCAAATATTTCTTCAATTATTTTTGTTTTAGCACTGTTCATTCTGCATATTTTTCAATCTAATTCTGCTTCTCATGGATATAACCTACATGTGGGATTGGTCCTGTGCCTGGTTAGCTGGCAGTTCTCTCAAACTCTGCATGTGCACTGTTAGATAACAAACACAGAGACCCATGCATGAGCCATTCCAGATCTGCTTGGAAGGCATCAAAAATCAGTCTAATTCCAGTGGGATTGATGGCATTTTGCACACGGCCCACACACTCTCAGCCTGGTGGCCTTCCAGTGCCACTGCACATTTGAAATGGACCAGGCCCAGGCCCCAGTGCATTTCTGTCACAAGAAGATAGTGGGTGGCCCGAGAGAGCAGCTTTGCAACAACATGCATCCATTTTTGTAGTGAAATACTGACATTTACTCTGCTATACTGTATAAATATGGTAATATTTAATAAGTATGTTTACTTTGTGCACCTAAGTATTTACAAGAGTCGTTTCATGATTTTATGCAAGACTGTCCTTTTTGCTTTTCATGTCCAAGTATCCTGTGGTGGGCATGACAAAAATTATGGCTTTATACTATGAGTATTTGTATATTTGTGCTACAGAAATTCTTTTTGAGTACTCGTTGCTCAAAGCCTGACACCACATCATGAACACTGTCATTAGTTTATTGTTACTCATTGGTTTCAATGGGCTAAATGCAGAGTAAATAATCTGAATCGGACAGATGAGATGGGATTAAATGGAGGATCATGAGATAATCCCTGCACATGTGGAGATTGACACGTGGCTCTGCAAATCCTCATAATTATCAGTGTGACCATCAGACAAATAGCAGCTGCTCTAGCTTTTGATATGCAGTCATATTTTCCACAATAATTACAATAAATTGAAGACTACTGAAGGAACTGTATTAACTTCAATGTGGACTGATCTAACACTGTGCTGCAGTATGGAAGTGGGAGCTAAAAGCAATATCATTTACATAAAGTATATTGTATAATGTACCGGTAGTTTACACCATATACAATTCTGAAGCAGTATTTTCAAATCACCATTCAAAAAGCATCAAACAACTACATTATTTCATCTCTCTGCTTTGTAATGTAATATTTGTCAATGCATCATGTTTGGCAGACTTTCTCAGCAGCATTAGCACATGAAAAACAGCAGCTGGAGTGGACCTGGCTGTGTATGCGATTGTTTATTCCCGTATCATTTATAGCAGCTCTCATAATGCGACCTTGTTTGACCATACAAATGAATGCTCTGATGCACTGTGTATCTATGTTCACATGAATAAAATTTTGTCTACATGGGAAATAAAAAGTTTTATTCCAACTGTAAAAAGCTGAGGATGCCATTTTGTACTTGAAAAGTTCCTAGCAGGACTCGGAATAATGCGGTACAGTAGATCACTTATCAGAGGCTGTAAGTTGAGTTGAAAGACGGCGCTGCTCAGGGCCAAGAACACTTTATCGCAAATAGCAGCGGGGTGCGCCCTCCCCACCTCCCTCCTTCGGCCCCTCTGTCGGTACTACACTTCTTTCACTCACAGATGTAAATGTTCAAACAGACTCAATTCTTCAAAGCTGTGACGAGCATAAAAGCACAGTCTCCACCCTCATTGCTAATTGATGGCCTTGCACCGCTGCAGAAAGCCCGATGAGGATGACTTGAGATTCTGATTAGAGGTAACTACTTCCATTACATTTTACATAAGGGACGTCCCAGACACTGTACAGAGACTCTTTCAGTTGGATTCTTCTCTTTAAAAGTCACCAAACAGAAGCACATGTTTATATGCAATAATGTATATGCAATTAAAGTTATCTGAAGTATAAACTTTAACAAATATGTCTTCATGATAAAACAACAGCAATCAAAATGAGGCAGGAAGAACATGTTTTGTGATATCAAGTGACAAAAATATTCTCTATGAGCAACACTTCAGTTAGGCTATTGTCAGCTTAAAATGATTAAATCAGAAATATTGCTGAGTAATCAATTACTGAAAGGATGGGTAATTACAGTTCTAATGTTTACTGCTGTTAAGACTGTAGGTATCAGCTGTAGGTGATGAGAGTTACAAAAAAGAACAAGTGAACAATGACCAAGGCAAGTCCTTTTTCATCATTCTTCAAAAATCCTTCAAAAATTTGACATAAAAACTATGTTGTAAAGGTGCACAGGTGTGAAAAGCCATGCCCCTCTTCAGTGGTCCACTCACGCTCCTATAGGCCCAAGGACACAATGGACAGCTGCGCTCAGTCTCTGATAAACACAGCCAGTGCTTACGTCTTTGTACAGGAAATGAAGAAAAATGTGTCAGAGGAACGTTCACTGCTGCTGTCTTCTCCAAATGTCAGGCCTTTATGCCGAGTCCCTGCTTGTCAAGCTCCTCACAAGTGCACACACAACAGGATGGCACCCGGACACCTCTGCTCAAGTCTGCAATATGAAACAACACTATTCTTAGACACCCAGATGAGCCAGTTACACAAGCTTATTCAAATGAGCCAGCATGTGTGCACCGAAAAGTAACTCTCTCATTTGGATCAGGGAAAATGAAAATACAAAAGGAAATGGAATTTATTTGGGCAGAACCATCAAGGCAAACTTTGACTTTCATGAATGCCATGGAAAAAGAAGGAAAAAGAGGTTAAAGGTGCTTTATGTAACTTTCCAGATTGAAAGCTTTTACTAATTTGCCTGGAATGTTCCACAGAATAGCATTAAATCTTAAAGTAAAAACTTCCTCCCCAGATCAAACTTGACCATGTGATGCCACCAGGTCAAGTTTGGTCTGTGTAAAGGCGAGTAAGAAAGCATGTGGGGGCTGTACGAAAGTGGAAGAGGCAGAATGTTCCAGAGTT